GGAGGAGGAGGGGGGAGGAGGGGGGAGGAAGAGGAGGGGGAAGAAGATGGAGAACAAGAAGAAGGGGTAGGAGAAGGGGAAGAAGAAGAGAAAGAGGAGGAGGAGGAGAAAGAGGTGGAAAAAGAAGAGAAGGTGCTGCTGCTGCTGCTCAATCTAATATAATCTAAGCATGTTTCACAAAGACAAATAATCAAGAGGTGATGAGCAATAATATGCATCTTCCCAGTCTCATTTCAATTTTATATATGTGGCCATCACTAAGTTTTTATTCACCCAAAACAGATGCTTTGCAGTTCTGGGGGCATGAAAAGAGGGACAAGTTACCATTATTTCTACCCCCTTGAAATTACTCCCATTGGACTTGAAACACAGTATTAAGATATTTCAAACTTATAAAGCTTGTTGTCTGGACATTGTGCCGACAGACGATGCAGGAACGTGGGAACCTATGGGATCTCCTTAGAAAGGGATAAGCAAAGAAATTCCACTCCACCCACCTGCCCCTCAAAAAAACACTCCAGGTATTTCTCTCACTTCTCTTCCAATGACACAAGGAATGTATGTGTCATTTATATCTTTAGATTTAGGTATTGAGGACAGTAGATATGCCCTGCTTATGGGTGTCATACATTAGATGGCTATCAATCATTTATATCTAAGTTCACATTTAATTTTCACTTTCCTACCAGAAAGCAGTGTGCTGAGAGAACAGAATACTAACAGATCATTTAAATGATGGGGGTGAGGAGGAAACAAGAGGAAACTGAGTCTTCTGAGCAATTAAGGACACTGGAGTTGCTAAAAGGAGCAAGGAAGGCACCAAAGGTGAGCTGACTGACTCCAAATGAAAAACAAACAAACAAACAAACAAACAAAAAACGACTCACTTCCCAGAGTTGAGGATTGGTTTATTTTCAGTGAAACACTGGAAGATTCTCTTAACTGTCATAGTCTGCAGCAGTAGCAGTGTGTGACTATAAATGTTCTGGAACCTAAATACTCCACCAATAACTATGTACTGGAAAGGCTTCAGATTCTCATTAGTTATGACTGTCAGTACCAAATAATTTTGATGCTGTTGAAATAAAACTCAATAAGCCTAAAATAAAATATCATAAGAGAAAAGCACAAACTCTTTATAGATATATCTGGCCATTCTGACTAGAACATTTGATAATCACTCAGAAGTCCAGTATTTACGGTTTGGCAATAGTGTGGCATCTGTCTGACCAAGACAAGCTGACTGGTGCAAGTTGCAGATTTGTATAGCATGCTTCCCTAGCTTTTAACAAATAAACATCATTTTTACTCACGAGGAGCCCCTTCAGCCATTTCAATAGCAGTGATTCCCACGGACCACACATCACTCTGCAAAAGAAAAAATGAACCCAAAGTCACCTAAACTGGAAAATTAATAGTATTTAGAATTTCAAAACAATCTTTGGTTGGGGGAGTGTCAATGCCAGAGCCATTTTATGGGTTTTCTACAATGAACCTTCATTATAGAATGGTGTTGTAGGAAGATGTTATCTAAGCTTGTGATCTGCCAGTACTACACCACACAACAGAACGATATGGGATAGGGTTCAGTGTAGGGAAAATTCATCTTGAATGTATTGCTATTGCTGCCTTAACTGAAATAACAAAAGGAGCTTGCTGTGAAGAAATCCAATCACATAGACCTATTATTAACTGTGCCCTCTTAGATAAATGATTTAACTCTCTGTACCTCAATTTTACCCTATATGAAATGGGGATAATAATGATATCCACCTCATAGCACTGGTATGAGTATTAAATGAGATACCATATATAAAAAGCATTTTCAGCAGTTACTTGAATATAGTAAATTGATAATATAATTATTGTTATTCTAGGAAATGATATTCCAAGAGGATCAAGGAAATTATCCTCACTATTAACTGTACTTCGTTTAGAACGTGGAAAGGGCACAGGGCTGTAGGTACACTGGCTGGCTGGATGACTCCTAAACAAGTCAATTGAATTCTGAGAATCTCAGCTAATAGAGTTCTTAGCTTCAAATGATTGTTGTGATGGTGTAAGTTGAAGCTTTCTTTCAATTAAATGAGGCTAAAAATGAAAAAAAAAATAAATAATTAATATAGGTGAAAGTCCTTTGAAGACTGCAAAAAAAATTTGTACAGGCATAAAGCATCATTTTTACAGCAAGCCACCTAAAAGAACATTATGCTTCCATAGTCTCCATAGCCTGTAATAGTAATAGACTATAAACTCTCAATGGATCTGCTCCCAGATCAAGCAGAGGGCATTTAAGGAAAAGGGAAAAGAGATGAGACTTGAATTAATCAACTTCAAGTATTGAGCTCTAGGTTCTACACAATGAAGCCACAATGAATTGTTTGGATGACTTATGATGTGAAGACTGAATGTGGTTTTTCCAGTCTATAGCAAATGGAGAGTTTTCTTTCCACATCAGAGTTTTGAAATGTGTACATATATGTATATTGTCCAAATTGCAATTTCAGTGGAAATTTTAATAAATACCATGAATTGTTACTTAATTTGTCTATTCCACTGATTTTCAGTGGTCTGGAGGTGAACCATGACAAGGATTTTCTCCATTACCCTGAGTAATCGAATTATTTTTTTTTTCTTTTTGAAGCTAAGTTACTGTGGGGATTAATAATTGGCTTTACATTCATTCATTTTTAGGTTTACAAAGTTCTCTGCCCCTGGAAGTTAAATTTGCATATAAAGCCACATAATATAATATTTTTCCCAAGAAGTTGCAAGCAACATGAACTAGACATTCTTCCTCAAATGTAGATAATTACCAGTGGTCTATGTTGTCTATATTCTTAGAAAATATTACATTTATGCATATAATCAAACCACAAATAAGAATAGCAGCTAGTCTTTCTTATTAGAGTTTAATGTGAAAGGAGTTGCCTGCTTTTTATTTTTTATCATTTACAAATAAATATTAGTAAAAAGTCCTTTCCAATCTTTGATTCCCACTATGTGAATCTTCACACTTACTCTGTAATCATAGGAGCGTCTTGGGTCCTCATCACAGTCAATCACCTCAGGTGCCATCCAGTATGGCGTCCCAATGAAACTATTTCTCCTCCCATTAGTTCTGCTCACCTGGGCACTCACTCCAAAATCCACTGCAAAATTCAGCATATGTCAAAATAATTAATCAGTAACAAAAAGCTCAATAAGTTATTGCTTTAACTTGGAAAGCCAATACAAAATCCACAATGGATAACAGATTTTCATTCCAGCCCAGAAAACTTTACCATGAAGTCCACTCCAGAAATACTGAGAATTAGGTTTTTGCTTCTATTTATGTTGGAAAGAGACTCAGAAGTGCTACTATAAATCTACAGTAGGTTTGGCTGAAAGTTTACCATGAATATTAAAAATAAAGTTCCATCAGTATACCCTGAACCTCTGAAGTGATAACATATGTAGTGTTTGGAACTGCCACCAAGCTGAAGGAAGACCAACACTATAAGCAACATCTAAGAAATCTAAAACCTATTAGTAGCTTATTAGGAAGCCTCGCTCATGACATTAGAAAGTCCTATTACACCAATAAAGAAAAATGAGTTTTCTGCTAGAATTTAGTTTAAGTTCTTCTACAGATCTTCTGAATCAGATGCATATATTTACTGTGGTATCTATATCTTAGGTTAGACTGTAAAAGTTCAGTCTTCTATTAATCTGTTGGATACATTATATGAAAATATTTAGTATGGTATCCTCAGTAACAGACAGAAAAAAGGCTAAAGTAGACTAGGGTTATTTAGTCCAGAAAAAAAAAGATGAAAAATGAAAGTAGATGAAATTTTTCAGGGATGAAAAATGAAGTAGATTTTCTAATTTAGAATGGTTTCCAGGAATCTAGAGGATGGATAGCAACACTGTCTAAATAGTAGTTTGAAGAATTTAGGAGAAGAAATGAAAAATTAAAAAGTTAAGAGCTTAAAGAAGTCTTTAAGGAAGGATTTAACAAGAATGAAAAATGCCTATAATATGTGCAAATCATCAGTGGGTATTGAACAATCTCATTATCTACCTATTTTTGGAGAACAGGTTAAATCAGAGCCCAGCAGTCTCACTATCCCTGAGGGCCAACTTAAAGGGCCAAGAGATACATATGAAGGCCATGAGCTAATATATGACATTCAGGGAAGAAAATGAAAAGAGAAAAGACTAGAAGAAAGAGTGATGGATGGAAGGAAAGGAAACAAGAAAAGCTTGAAATGAAGACAAAAGTAGAGATGAGACCTCAACAGTGGTATAATTTAACCTTTTCTTTAATGACCTAGGGACCAGAATATAAGGATTGCTTATCAATTGCAATTATAATATGATCATTTTCCAGTCTCATTCCTATCACTCCCTTTTTATGGCCTTGGGTTTTCCTTCTGCAACCTTCTCATAATATGTTGCTTAAAAATATCCTGGAATCTGAGAAATGTAAAACCAAATGTATAAGGGTTATATGTAAAATAAGCCTGATTAAATTCTTATCCATACTAAAAGGTCTCTCCCACAGAGTAAAGTACATAAGCTTTAGTGCATGGACTTTGTGACAGATTTTTCAGTGGCATTTCATTTACTTAACAATTTCTCTTCTGTATCGCAAATGGTAGAGTTGGCCAGAAACCTGACTCAAATATATGGGAGTGCTGCCACATGTGAACATAGTATGTATGTAGCCTTGCAACAGATTATCTATCCTGCACATTTGAATATGAGATCCAAATTCCCCCAAGGTATTGGCACAGTGTCTTAAAATTGTATTTCTAGCTTTGTAGCTTTTAAACACATGAGACATAACACATTTTCTTGAAATTACTTTTTTCTTACTTCAGGAACGATTATTACTCAAGCTTCTTCTGCAAATATTCAATGAACACATTCTCAATGAATGAACAAAAATCTCTGCCATGGTTATATTTTTTATAAGGAAAATGGGAACTATCTTAAGGTCATACTAGAGATATGGTAGAACTGATATCATTTAAAAATAATACAGGATTTAATACCAGTGATTTATATTCTATATCAATGAGGTTATCTGCCATTGCATAGTACTAACATTAATCATATGGTATTATTTAAAACCCAACCAACGATATTTATATTAAACATTAAAGGGTACAATAAATTGCACCCTGTGTGCCTGTGAGACAATATGTGTGGTTATTTTTAAATAAATTATGCCATTTTAAATCTTGGAATAGAAAGCCAGGGACTTTCTGGTCTTTTGATTTCTAATTCTGAACTTGATTTTGATATTATGAGAGCAACTGATATCAGTTCTTTAAATATTTGAGGCGAAATTCCAAAGAAGCAATTTATGCTTAAGTAATTTAAAAGTTATTTGATGTTCTTTGGAAAATATGGCTTTGTGATGTGGAAGAATTGTCTTTGTTTCTTGTCCATGGCACAAAAACTTGCACATAATAAATACTCAATTCAATTGTTGAAATAAATATAATATCTATACTTAATACAGAGTAAAACAATGACCAAAATGTAAGCCTTCCATTATAATTTAAAAGTTGTTTTGAACTAATGATTCCAGAGAAGCAGTAAATGGTGCATTTTTCTCCTGCTCCACCTTCCTCACCAAACAAATTTTCAAAATTTCACTGGTTTTTCAAGCAATGAAGACACAGCCTAAATAAGTAGCAGATATTGTTAATGAAATTATAAAAAAAACATAGTTATCTTAAAGGATTATTCTCCATTAAAATATTTTGGGCACCACTTAAAGTACTGCAAGAACAAACTTACCAAGTTTTACTTCGGCATTATGAGTCAGTAACACATTCTGACCTTTGATGTCCCGGTGAATTACACGGTGTGCATGAAGATGAGCTAAGCCCTGCACATAGATAATGTATATTTATTTTAAAAGTCACATCAGTATATATATTTTCTCTCTTTCTGGTACTGTTCTTAGTATTTTTGGAAAAACTTTTGGTAAGAAAAATGGCCCAGATTTGCTTTTTTCAGACAAAATTCTTTCTTTAGGCTGGAATTACTACAACCAGTTCCCAGAAATACTGCTTTTGGCTATAAGGAAAGGAAAATAAATCAGGACACCCATGAAAGGAAAAGAACACCAAAAAGTAATGTTTGTATACATTGGGCCGTTTACCTTCCTTTCTAGCCTCCATCTTTCCAATTAACCATAAGAGTGAAGACCTGGACACCTTAAATATAATAGCCACTGTTTTACTCTATTCCTCATTCAAACATTTCATTAATCCAGAATATTTTCTAGTCAACCTTGTAGGCTGAGAATTTGGGGGACTATGGAAATTCCTTTGAAAGCATTTGCAATTCGTATTGGCTTACTATGTTGGCTCCAGCCTGTTCACCACTAAAACTAACCTGTGACCTGGCTTCAGTGAGATTGTTCCAGATAATAACTGGGGATTAATAACAGAAGTAACAGTAAAAACAGCTAATATTAATTGAATCCTTTATTTTGTTTTACTTTATTGCCAGGCACTGTGCTAAGTGCTTTACATGAAGGAAATTATGAAGCTGTCACTGCAATCCTTTGAGGAAGGTACTACTATCACCTCGTATTATAGATAAGAAAAGTGAGATTTGGAAAAATTAAGTAACTGATTCAAGGACACACAGCTAATACATCATGAACCAGAATTTAAACTCAGTATAGAGTTTGCACTCAACTAGTTACACTATTAGCACAAGTGAATCCAATTAAGATGGGAGGAAGGACATTCTAACAGTATATCAGTGGTCCGATTCAGTTCTGTTAATATCCTTCTCGGGTGACCCTAAGCACCTAAGCCACACAGAAAAATTTGAGTGTGGTAGATCAAGAATATTGTTCTCATCCAACTTGGTATTCAAAATGAAGCAAGCTTTAAAAGTAGGGAATTCTTCAAATAGGATATCTGTCTGCAAAATGGTTATGGATGGTTTGGGGCCATTCTGTAAAACACGGACTTTTGTCTCACTTTTAATCTCTAACAATATAGTGCAGCTTTTTTTTAAGAACTCTAAAAATCTGAATGATGTAATAAATATTCCAAGTGGTTATTTCTATGATCCAATGAACACAATAGTCTAACTCTGACAGAACCATTAAAGAGCAAGGCTTGGAAGGGCCTGGTTACCCGTATTGCAACCTATCTAAAGTTAAGGACATAGACATCACCTGAAAATCTGCTTTCTCTAAAGCCTTTAGGTCTTTTTTGGTATCCTGATCCAGAGATTATGTTTAGAATTCTTAAACCAACCTGTATGAGCAAGTATAAAGTACACTGCATATATTACTCCCAGGTATTTTCAAGGCAGGGGAGAATGACTATATGAAGACTCACCTGAAGGATTTCTCGGCAGATATAAGCAATCCAATCTTCTTTCAAACTCTGATTTCTGGTCATTCTTACTACATCAGTGACTGAGCCTGCTGCACATAACTCCATCACCATCTGCAGGGAGGTCAGCAAAGTGTCAAGAATTAGAAAGTAATTCTATGAAAATATCTGGAGAGTTTTAGTCCATATGGCTTGTATTTATATGTAATGTTAGGGATTAAGACATTGCAAATACTGGCTCAATTGTCTGGTGGGAGTCTCTAAAGGCTAGTGGAATTAAAGAGTTGGAACCTATCCAAAGATCAGTGGAGGGAGGGAAGGCAGGTACCACACCAGGGATATTTAAGCAAGAGGTAGAATTTGAGCTAAGCCTTGAAGGATAGTGTTTGGATATAAAGAGAAGGAAGAACATTCAGTTTATTGAAAAAAGAATGATTATATTCCTGTAGAAAGCTTGTGCAGGAGACAAGCCTGAGTGATGCCTGGAGTGCAACAAAAAAGATCATTGAAGGAACAATTTGATTGCAAGTGAAGAAGCAGGATAGAAGGATCTCAAAAGAATTTGCATTTCAACATTAAGACTAAATTTGTTTGTTATTGTTGTTTTGTTTTTGTTTCTAAATTCTAAATTTTAAATTATTGTTTCCTGAGATAGTGGCAAACTACAATTTCAAGGGGTAAACTATCAGTTGTACTCCTATAGGGCATTTTTTCCCAAATGACTTTACTGCTAAGGAAACTCTATTTTAAGGCTATTATCACTGAAACCATCTTGTTCAGATGTTACTTTATTAACAAAAATTTCTCAGAAAATTTATCTTTTTGCCATCAATTAATCAGGTACTAAACTAGTAAATTTCCTTTCCTATATTAGCTGGCTAGAGGCCTGGACAATGTAAAAGAGAATATATCTATTATAATCAACCCAACAAACTTTTCTTAAGCACAGGCTTCTGCATTAGTGCCCATGTCAAAACTTCCTTATAAATACAACAAAACATGTTTTTTTAAACTGTAGGCAAGTTAATTATTGCTGTAGATGAAGGAAACCTAGAGGATATGCCCTAAATCATGAATATGTAAAGTCTACCCCATTTCTTGTTGTAATGCTAACATTTTCTTTTCAGTAAATCATTCCTTTAATTTATATTTGTTCACAATTCATATTATTGCATATCTTTCACATAAGTACACTCTCACAAAAAAGAAGAGAAGAAATTGCCTAACAAAACTAATTATACAGAGAAACCACGAAAGTTTAATTTTCATGTATTAAATGGTCACAACATGTACAACTGTGGTAATGGAAGCAAAGTGGCTCATTTTGAACCATGACAAACATAAATTAAAGCCATTCATTCAGATGTACCCTGGAAAAATCTTCCTAATGTTACTTAAGTCAGAAGCGCTCTAGTCTTAAAGGAACATAAAGATATTTTCAATTATTTTCCCAGCTTTGTAAGCATGATGTCTGGCACATACACTTTATAAATGGTAATTATTTAGTCATTTACTTACTTCCTATTTGTTTTGATTTATATGGGCAAGACAGTGTAAATGGTCCCATGAAAACTCTTGCCTCCACAAATAATTTATTCATCCTTCAGATCTCAGTTCAAAAAAAGTTTATTAAAGAAGAGTTTCTCATTCCCTACTTAACTTAGATACCTTTGTTATTTGCCCACATAGAAGCATGCTATTTGCCCACACAGAAGCATGTTATTTCCCTTCTGACCAATTATATACTCATTTGTGTGATTATTTGACTGATACTGGTCATTGCAAATGGACTGTAAGTTCCTACAGGTCTGGGACATGTTTGTTCAGTTTATCCATGTAATCTCATAATCTAGCAGAAGCCCTGGCAAATAGATGGCTTTGAATAAATATGTTGAATAATTGAATGAATTGAGTACTGATAAATACATCTAATAAGGAGACTGCCATACAGGCAAGAGGAAAAAAAATTGTAAGTAAAATTATATTAAAAGACAAATATTGTATGCCAAAAATATACCAATAGTCATTAAAGGTGTACAGCAATATTTAATGAAATGCCAACTGGAGTTGTCAGATAAAAGAAGATTTACTTAACTGGACATTGGAATAAAATGGGATTAAAGTGAAGATGTTTAATTTGGTGGTTTTGAAAGTGTGGTACCCAGACCAGTAGCATAAACATCATCATCTGTTGTTAAAAAGTGCAAATTCATGGGCCCACACCCCACACCTATGGAATCAGTAACCCTATGGGTAGAGCTCAGCAATCTGTGTTTTATCAGGCTTTCCAGGAGATTCAGATGCACACTAAAGTTTGAGAACCACTATTTCAATTCAGTTCCTTGTTGAAAATATTTCTATAATGTCCACTGCCCTGCTTCCTAAAGTACATTATGTAAAGTGGAACAATCTTTCCTTGACAACTGAAGGTTCTTAAAATTCTTAGTTATTATTTTGAAAAAAAAAAAAAAACAATACTATTCTTGACTTGAAATGGAAATGGAAATGTAGCTAGCAATTGGACACTGACCCCACTTCTGTTCTAAATATTCCTTTTGAAATAAACATATCTCTGACCAGAGCTCATTTTCTTGTTATTTGACTATTTCTGCCATAGTGGGAGGCAGAAACATTCTGGTAACTGTAGCTACCCTATACAATTTATATCTCATTGATCTTTAATTTGTGACAGTATAGGTATAAGTAGACTAAGAAAAAGATAAGTCAACTAACAAATTAGAAAAAAACTTCCGGGAGTTATGTTTAAACTTCCAGGAGTTATGTTTAAACATAAGTGCATTTCCTTAGAAAAAATTAAATGCATCCATATGTTCATGCTGAATGCTAATTAGAATTGATACTTATCCAGTCATTATTTGCAAGTCCATCAGGTAGTCTCCTTAGCCATACCTCTAATTTACCAGCAAATATACAGAAAAAGTTAAAAGCAGCAAAACTATATTTAAAAAGAAACATGTTAGATATTCCCAGTGTTCATTTGAGTCCTCCTCTATTTTACCCTGAAGACCCTTGCCAGGAACTTATGTTATTTTTCCATACTTTATTACTCCCATCTCCAGGAATCAGAACACATTTTGTCATACTACTTTGAGCAGTGGAGTGTTTAAGTATTCCTGTAAGTGCACAAAAGTGCATCTCAGCTTGTGAAAATGTATTTCCTCAAGTGAGATTTAGTCTTAGGAAATAAGATCAAGGTTAAATACATACCCAAAGTTGGTGCCTCTGGCCGGGGGGGCTCAGCTTGAAAAAAGCACCATAGAAGGACACAATGTTTTTGTGGAAAGAGTACTTCTTTAAAAGGTTGAGTTCAGTCCTAAGATCCTCTTCCTCATCCTGCAGAATAAACAATAGACAATAAAGTTCCTAAACTATGCCAGTTAATAACTATGGGATCCTAAACTAGAGTAGAACAAAGGAAATTCTATGGCCACCCATTATACCCCACAGCAATTTATAATATAATCTCAACTAGAATTATCAGAGAATGGAGATCTCTGGTTAACCGGAAATTTTGGAGAAAATAAAGCTTAATTGAAGATCTTTTAATTTAGTGGTTCTGAAAGTGTGATTCCTACACCAGCAGCAATGGCTATTGTATAAACTTTTCACTGAAAAGAATCATTACATTTTGTTTATTTTGTAACTGTTTTATTGGAATATAATTTACATGCCATACAACTTGTCCATTTAAAGTGAAAATTCAATGGTGTTTAGTATATTAACAGAATTATGCAACCATCACCACAATCCATTTTAAAATATTTTTATCACCCCAAAAGGAAACCTTTTACCCTTTAGTTACCACACACAAATTCTCCTACAAACACATACCAGCTTTAATGAACCACTAATATATTTTCTATTTCTATAGATGTATCTATCCTGGACATTTTATATAAATGAAAATCATTTCATTTGTGGACTTTTGTGACTAACTTTTTTCCCAAGTTTTGCCCATATTGCAAAATATATCATTATTTTATTCATTTTCATTTCCATTTATTAACTGATAGACATTTGGGTTAGTTCTCTCTTTTGGCTATTATTAATAATGCTGCTGTGAGCATTCATATCATTTTTATTTGAATATATACTTTTATTTCTTTTTGGTGAATATATATATTTATTTCTTTTTGGTATATACATAGAAGTGAAATTATTAGGTCAAATAGTAACTCTGTATTTAACATTTTGATGAAATGCCAAATCATTTCCACAGTGCTGCACCTATTTACATTCCCAACAGCAATAATGATTCCAATTTCTCCATACCCTCGTCAACACATATTATTTTCTGTTTTATCATTATAACCATCCTAGTGGGTGTCAAGTGGTATCTCACTGTAGTTTTGGCTTAAAATTCCCTGATGACTGATCATATTAATGATCTGTTCATGTGCTCATTGGCCATTTGTATATGATCTTCAGGGGAATGTCTAGTTGAAAATCTTTGCCCCTGTTTTCTAATTACGTTGTCTTTTCATTATTGAATTGTAAGATTTATTTATACATCTTAGACCCAAGTACTTTATAAGGTATTTGATTTGCAAACATTTTGTCCCATTCTGTGGGTTGTCTTTTCACTATCTTGATAGTGTTCTTTGAGAAATAAAGTTTTTAATTTTAATAAAGTCTGGTTTATTGATTTCTTATTTTATTGTTTATACTTTTGGTGTCATATCTAAAAATCCATTGCCAAAACTAAGGTCATGAATATTTATCCCAATGTTTTCTTCTAATAAGCATTTTATAGTTTTAGTTCTCACATTTAGGTATTTGATCATTTTGAGTTAATTTTCAATTTTTTTAATGTTTATTTATTTTTGAAAGAGAGAGACAGAACGTAGAGCAAGGGAGGGGCAGAGAGAGAGAGAGGAAGACACAGAATTGGAAGCAGGCTCCAGGCTCTGAGCTGTCGGCACAGAGTCTGATGCAGGGTTCAAACTCAAGATCTGTGAGATCATGATCTGAGTCAAGTAGGTCGCCCAACTGACTGAGCCACCCAGGTGCCCCTTAATTGTTAAATAAAGTAGGGGTCTAAGTTCATTCTTTTACATTTGGATATTTACTTATCTCAGCATCATTTGTTGAAAAGACTATTTTTTCCCCATGTATTGTCTTTGCTATGTTGTCAAAAATCACTTGACCATAGGTATATGGAAATAGTGCTATTCCATTGATCTGTGTATCTATCCTTATACATGTAACCACACTGACTTGGTTTGTGACTCATTGCATTTTTTAAATGTTTATTTATTTATTTTTGAAGAGAGAGAGAGAGAGAGACAGAGAGAGAGATAATGAATCCCAAGCAGGCTCCACACTGTCAGCACAGAGCCTGAGGTTAGGCTTGAATTCACAGGCTGTGAGATCATGACCTGAGCTGAAATCAAGAGTTGGGTGCTTAACCAACTGAGCCACCCAGGTGCCCCTCTGACTCACTGCATTTCAAAGGTACTGGTTTGATCTGTGCTAATTTAAAAAAAATTTTTTTTTCAACGTTTATTTATTTTTGGGACAGAGAGAGACAGAGCATGAACGGGCGAGGGGCAGAGAGAGAGGGAGACACAGAATCGGAAACAGGCTCCAGGCTCTGAGCCATCAGCCCAGAGCCCGACGCGGGGCTCAAACTCACAGACCGCGAGATCGTGACCTGGCTGAAGTCGGACGCTTAACCGACTGCGCCACCCAGGCGTCCCTGTGCTAATTTTTTTAAAAGATATGCTTAAAGTCATTTATTTTCTTAACCACAACAGTGATACATATGGATAAAATATATTTACATATATGAAATAAAATATGTAAGTACTCCACAATCACTGAACATTTCTTCCTACCAATGGTAACAGTTGAGTGTATATTCCTCTAGACATTTTTATTCCTGTAGAATATATATATTTCACTACTCTGCAACTCACATGTCTTATTCAATACCCAAAGCACACATTTCTACATCAATAAGAATAAATGCACTTCCTTTCTATGGATGTGTAGAATTACATTGAATAAAGATATGAGGCTGCCACTCAGGGTATAGGTCAGGGCTAAAGGTATGTTTTTGAGAATTATCTCTATAGTGATAACTGAAGCTATCTTTTTGGATGGGTTCACCCAGGTAGAATACATAATTTTAAGAGCTATTTCTAGAAGAAGACAGTGTGATGTCATCAGAAAAGGGCATCTACACTGAGCATAAGGACACATGGGTTTTACAACAAATAGCTAAAAGTTGGAAATTTACCTAATTTTCCCAAGGTTGAATTTGTCCTCAGAAGTCTGATGGAAGTTGGCAGCCATTACCTATCTAAATGGAATATTAGTAGAACCAAATAGGACAATATATTTAAAGTTCTTTGAAGTTCTTGAAAGAAGAATGCTATAAATGTAAGGTATTATCATACAGTATCTATGTTACTTCACCTTCTCACTTGCATTAGTGTTATCAGAACTGTACACCTTTCTCCACTTTTTACCCTAATCTACAACATCAGCTTTTACTTTCATCACATTTGTTATAGTGGAGTGAAATGGGAAGCTATTCTCTCTCCCTAAAGATTCAGCTGTCCCCTTGTACCGTGACAACTAGGTAGTTTCCATAATCCATCTGTAACTATTCGTAGCCAATCTAAAAACAGCTTTTTGCTTCTCAATAATTTAAAAATCATCACACTTTATATGTATACAGATGCAATGCATTGGAGAAAAATATCTTAAAATATTAACTTACAAAAAAGTAACTTAAATTGTTGGGAATTTCTGATGAGCATATCATTGGTTTATGCATTTAGATATAATATTCCTAATTTAAAGGAACTTACATACAAGGAAATAAGATTCACAAACATGAATGACACAATCATTGATGAATACAGGATAGTGTATAATGAAGTTGAGGGTGATATAAAATGGCTCAGGTAGTGATCTCCCATTTGACAAAAGAATTCACTACCTGGGTCTTTTGAATGCCTACTAGCTCTAAATTTCATTTGATTGTAAATAAAAAAGCTCTCTCACTGCATCTATAAATGTTCCATTTATATAACTTTTCAAGAGTACTGTTATTGTGCAAAATAAATATATGCTGTAGTATGTAAAGACTTTTTTGACCAAAAATAATTTTTTTATTAATTTTTTTATTTGAGTATAGTTGACACAATGCTACATTATTTTCAGGTGTAAAACATAGTGAATCAACTTCTCTATATGTTATACTATGTTCAGCACAAGTGTAACTACCATCTGTCACTATACAACACTATTACAATATAATTGACTATATTCCTTAATTCTGTACCTTTTTCATCCCTGTGACTGACTCATCCATAACTGGAAGTCGGTATCTCCCACTACCCTTCATCCATTTTACCCCACCTCCTCCCCTTTGTCAACCATCACTTTGTTCTCTGTATTTATGTCTGACTCTGATTTTTGTCTATTCATTTCCTTTTTTAGATTCCATATGAATGAAATCATATGGTATTTGTCTTTCTCAGTCCTATTTATTTTATTCAGTAGAATGGCTAAAATTAAAAAGACAAGATATAACAAGTGTTGAAAATGATATGGATAAAAAGGAAATTTCACACACTGTTGGCAGGAATTCAAGTTGGTATAGGCACTGTGGAAAACAGTATGGAGGTTCCTCAACAATTAAAAATAGAAAAGAAGACTTTTAAATTAAAAATACAGTTGAGCTCCTATTCTGAAATCCAGTGAAAAAGGACACCTTTGACTTCTTTCGGGCAATGAATCAGAAAGGGCCAACTGGCATGAAAATAAATTAAGGAATTAACCTTTATCTTTAGTTCTCCCCAGAATTTCCTTCAATTATATTGGCTTGATGACCTGGGGGTAGGGGGAAATAGATATTTTAGCTGAAATTAATAGGTAGCTGAATATATCTAGTCAGTTATCATTTTCCTTCTTACTTTATTCTCTCAGACCCAGTAGGAAAGATGGGAAATGTTTTTAATCTTTAGCTATAGTGTAATTAGACTTTAAAAAAATAGTTATAAAATAAATATAAGGCAATGTGCTAAGGTTCTGAAATGTCCTCAAGTATTCATAATACATTATAAAAAGTTTGAAATCTCAGAGAAATGGCTAGCAGCTGAAGAACATTCTTTAACATTTCTCTGGGATTTTCCAGTGGATTTACCCATAAATATTCAACAACTAAAAAAAAATCTAGACACCTATTTGTCTTTGGGAGAAGGGGATGAGGCCTGGTTTCTCCAGGTTCTCTGTATTTATTGCGTCATAAAGGCAGAAATAAATAAAACAATTAACTTGTGGCATGAGAATCATATAGAAGTCCAGGTTCCAGTGTCATCCCAGCCTCCCAAGGAAGCTCAGTTAATAAGTTCTCTTTGAATTCCCTTAACCTGTTTTCTACAAAGATAAAAACTGATCCTCGTGACTTTCATTCTTGTCATGTAGGACCCTTGAACTTTCTGCTTTACCTCAGATATGGCTGTCCTTTGAAATGGTAACAACATCTGCCATTGTATAGAAATAAACCTCAGGAACTAGCAATTCTATGTGTACATGGGCATTGTCAGTACCTAGCAAGCCACCATCATTGGGTTGAAAGGAACATGAATTCATAAAGAGTGCAGTAAATAAGAATGAGATGATGGTGTGAGGGTAAGAACACAAAGAACATGTAAAAGAGAAGCAGGGGCCAGCCTGAGTCCTTTAACTTGTTTGGTAGTTTGATTATCAAAGAGCTTTTTTTTTTTCCTTCTGAGTTAGAAAGGTCATGTCCACAAGCAAGAATAGAAGAATGGCTGGGCTCAAGGCAGCTATGCAGTTGCATTTGACCATATTTTTAACTCTGTTTATAAGTAAGCCAAATATTCTGGTGCATTTTACGTATGAGAAATCTGAGGCCTAGAGAAGTAAGACCTGTTTCCCAAGTATTTCTTAGCTGTTTAGTGGTAGACTTGGGATTTAGATTTGTGTGTTGGGACTTCCACATTATTGCTATTTCCATAAACCTCTGACTCAAAGAGATGTGTGTGTAAGTCACAACCTTCTTATCCCAAAGGATTCAAGATGATTTATAAATACTAATTGACTGATCAGCTAGCAGTTATTTTTCTTACTAAAATATATAATCAGAGAGTTCAAAGTTCCCAACTAGAAAAACTTTTAAGAGTGAGTTTCCCACATAAATGTAAACTCTCCCAAAACCAATAAACCAAGATCAGATATGTTTGAAAAGCATTAGTGTGTTTGCCATTCTCAATTAACAGGAAGTTGAGCTTGTGAGAAACACATAAGTACATTATATCCATCAGGCCAAGTAGGTAATTTAAAACTCTCACAAATATCTCAGTAATATGATGCTATAGCATTTCCTGGCTCAGGGCCAGTTGTCCCAGCGTGGCTTGAATATCCTAATTTTTGTCAGAAAGAGACAGCTCAAGGATACGACAACTTCCTTTATAATTTCACCCCATTCTAGAACCAAAATATTTTTCCTTGTGGAAAGAATACCAGAGAGGGTTTGGGGAAGATCTTTAAAGGAACTTATTAACAGAAATGTGTGATGAAACCAAATTAATGAATTATATTTTTCATACCTTACACTTTGCAGCTTCTTGATCTACCGAAGTGTGCTAGATTAATCAGTACTACCTGTTTTATTTGGATAGGCTTTGATTCCAGAGATACATTGTAAACAAAACAGGAGCCTGGTACTTACTAGATCAATCATGAAAGTGTTTACCAATACCTTTCTAATATAAATACAAACTTTCTCTGAATGTGATTGGGTTAATGGGAAAAGTTATCCGAAATCCTGAGAGCATATTTATTAAGACACAAAAGATTGAAATATTTGAATACCAGATAGCTGAGGAGAAGTGTAAGAAAAAAAAAGGTCAATTAACAAAATTGATAATGGGGTGCCTGGGTGGCTCAGTCAGTTAAACATCCGACTACAGCTCAGGTTATGATCTCTTGGTTAGAGGGTTCGAGCCCCCCGTTGGGCTCTGTGTGGACAGCTCAGAACCTGGAGCTTGCTTCAGATTCTGTGTCTCCCTCTCTCTCTGCCCCTCTCCTGCTCATGTTCTCTCTCCCTCAAAAATAAATAAACAGTTAAAAAAGTTTTAATAAAATTGATAAGAATAGGAATTCTGCTTTTAGGCTCACACAATATTTTTTTTTTAATTTTTTTTTCAACGTTTATTTATTTTTGGGACAGAGAGAGACAGAGCATGAACGGGGGAGGGGCAGAGAGAGAGGGAGACACAGAATCGGAAACAGGCTCCAGGCTCTGAGCCATCAGCCCAGAGCCCGACGCGGGGCTCGAACTCAGGGACCGCGAGATCGTGACCTGGCTGAAGTCGGACACTTAACCGACTGCGCCACCCAGGCGCCCCATGTCACACAATATTTTGATAGGTCACCAACATCTACTGAAGAAGAATTTTCTTTGTATGATTGCATTCTAGAGCTAGCAAATTATTAGTCATAGAGAGTGCTTTGTAAGGAAGTTATAGAGTTTCAAGTACAAAGCATTTCCACTCCTTTATGTATTCAAGTACTGTGCCAGATATCTGAAGACTTTTATGTTGGATAGCTGTGGTTTTCTCTCTGCTATTGTTCTTACAATAAAAAAAGAGTAGTCCTCATTTAACTCATATACAATAGCAATGTTTCTTAGAATCATAATGGGGGAATAGCCAATCAGTCTGGAATACCATGTAAAAGGTATAAAAAAGACCTTACCAGGGCCAATTTAAGGCAAAATTTGCTCTTGGTTTCATCATCTCCTTTGTTGCTACTCAGCTAGAGTGCTCTATACTCTGTGGATATAATTAATCCTTCACCTGCTTTCAACACTTACCTGTTCAGGGAACTGTTTCTTCTAGCCCCTGATTTCTGACGATGTTAGTGTTCAAATATAATGATTGATCTATGTGAATGTGTTAAAAGATAATATGCTATCACTTCCAGGCAAGAATATTTTAGTTATGGCCTTCTAAAGATAATGATACAAGGGTTAGTTTAAAGGTGAAAATTAAAGGAAAGACAACTTGGGAGCTAAAGGAGACTTTCCGTACTCACGCTGTATCTCCATCCAACAGACTTTTGATATTTATTCACTCTCACTCGTCTTCCTATTTCAGGTAAAGCGGTCTATAAAACCAAGAACAAAATGTTTTTAGACCTACTAGTACACTTTGAAAATGATTTATTCTTAAATAATTTGTGTTCTTTGGGCATTAAATGTAAGAGTGACATAATATTATTCCTCTTTCAATTTTCACTAATAATTTTACTTAAAAATCAGATTCTTATATATACAGAAACTTGGCACCAAATTCAAAATAACAGATTTAACTACCATATTAATGGAAAAATTACAATTTGATGTTAGTGAAGTGCTATTTTTCCTTACAAAACACAGTAATTGAAACTATCTATGGTATGAAAATGAGTTTTAAATATTTCAAAAGTTAGAGTATCTAAAATGTAGATTAAATGTCAGTCAAAGGTCTCTCAAGTCAAAACAAGGATAATAAGTATGTTAGATAGTCTCACTAAAAAAGTACTGGGCTGATTATTTGGAAGCCATGATTTGTAGGGCAAAATAAATCCACAAAACCTCAAAATCCCTTAAAATTAACATTGGTTTGCAACATTTGACATTTACTGGCAAAATAAAAAGCATGCAACTCTTTAAATAGTTTCAGCAATTCACTCCTTGCACAAATTGGAAAATAACAGTTTATGGCATTGACAACAGTTCAGTGAATATGTATAATTTTTCAAACATAACATTTGAGAATTTTTCTTTAAGGTATAGTGAAGTGAAATTTTTTTGACTTTTGCTATGTTCATGCTAATATTATCTAGAGAAAGTGAGGCACTCATGCTAAAGAAAGAAGACAGAAATCAGTACTTAGCAAATTCCAGGACAATATGTTATGAACCATGACACAACTTTATAAATGTTAGCAGGAACAATGCCAATTAAACTGTCTCTCTTGCTCATCTGTCAGAAAATGTCTGGAAAATGTGCATCTCTGACAATTTCTTTCCTTCTACCTGTCATCGAGAGTCTAATGGCCTCAATTCTCAAAAGGAAAGATTGGACAGGGAAAAGTATATGATCGAACACAGAAGGATTAACACGACATTAGAGGAAATCTCCTCTTTGCTATCCTTAGAAACAGATAATAAATTATAAATATACAGGAATATAGATATTTTCCTTATTCTTATAGAATACCAAAATATGTAGACTTTTTGTTGTGAGTGAAACATTTTTTATGTGTAACTACAATAAATCAATAATAAAGATAATATACTATGGATAGAAATAATATTAAATGACACATATAATAAATCTAGATCAACATAATTATAATTATGTATAATAATGATGAAAAACAAATACAATATTTTCTGAGCTGTGTATCTAAGTCCATAGGATACCATTAAATTGAACAATATATGGATAAGATACATTACCTTACGAGCATTCATCACTTTAACAGCTGTAAATGCACCAGTTTTTTCATGGAGTCCCTGAAACACAGGAGAGTAATAAACATTAAATGCCATCTATATAATCAAGAAGCAGGCATCAATGGATGAATGGATACAGTATACTGCTAAGTGAAATAAGTCAGTCAGAGAAAGGCAAATACCATAAGATTTAATTCATATGTGGAATTTAAGAAATAAAAAAATGAGTAAAGTGAAAAAAAAGAGAGACAGAGGCAAACCAAGAAACAGACTCTCAACTATAGAAAACAAACTGATGGTTATCAGAGGGGAGGTGGGTGGGAAGGTGGGTAAAACAGGTAAAGGGGATTAGGAGTACACTTATCTTGATGCACTGAGTAATATATAGAATCATTGAATCACTATATTGCACACCTGAAACTAATATAACAATGTGTGTTAACTGGAATTAAAAATTTTAAATTAATTAAGTTAAAATATTTTAGCCTATTATGGAATATAGCATATTACACAGAGATGAAATATCAGGTACTACATAGAGAACAGAAAAATCAAATTGTGAATATTTTAAAGAAACTCCAACCAACTGACTTGAAAAATCAAGCAAGTTTATGGAGTATTTTTGCTTTTTTGTGTTTGTATTAAACAGTGGACATAATTGGCCATTTGAAGGTACTGCTTTCTTAGTATATTTAGTGTAGGTTTACGTGGCACCAGAGAATCTAAATGGAAAATAAAAATTTCAGATTGAAGATAGGAAAAAAGGAGATGTTAATACTCAACATTTTTTCAACTGAGTATGTGGTATTAAACAGATACATTTTTCCACTGGACCCTCGTATACACTAAACAGGTTTTTCCATAATGATCATAGGTAAGAGTGATACATAAGCAATTCAATGACTGTAAACTGTTTGGTATGCCCTCAGTCCTAAGAACCAATGATATTTATGAAAGGAAGAAGTTCTGAAAGATTCTTTCTTATTGAAAATGTTATGAGTTCCAAAATTTAATCTTATCCTAAATGCAAATACAAGTTATAGATTTATAATTTTCAAAAATGGACACAGATGTTTGGAATATGAATTCTCATTGTGTGGCTGGTGCCTTTTAACATATTTCAACTTGTAGTCATAGAAAAAAAGTTCCATTTTTTAAAGTTTATTTAGAGAGAGAGAGAGAGAGAGAGAGAATCCCAAGTAGGCTCTGCACTGTCAGGACAGAGACTAACGTGGGGCTTCAACTCACGAACTGTTAGATCATTACCTGAGCCAAAATCAAGAGTCAGGTGCTCAACTGACTGAGCCACCCAGGAGCCCCCAAAATTCAGTTTTGTGTTGATATGAGTTAAGCTTCAACTTAAAACATAATGCCTTTTCTAGAAGAATATTTGATTTGGGGGCTGTAGTGAATTACAGTCTCCCCCAAATTTAGGCTAACTGATAACTTCAGAATGTGACCTTAATTGAAAATAAGGTCTTTGCACATGTAATCAAGTTAAATGAGGTCATACTGCATTAAAGCGGCCAATGATTGCTGCCTTGGTAAGAGAAAGGGGGGGAGATTCAGACACAGAGACACAGACACACACACAAAGGGAGGATGGCCATGTGAAGACAGGAGAAATTGGAGTGATGCAACTACAAGCTAAGGGATTCCAAGGATTGCTGGCAACAACTAGAATCTAGGAAGAGAGAAGAAAGGATTCTTTCCTAGGGCCTTCAGAGGAGGAATGGCCTTACAGACTTCTGGCCTTGAGAAACATAAGAGAATAAATTTCTGTTGTTTTAAGCCACCTAATTTGTGGATTTGTTGCCATAGCTGTAAAGGACTGTCACTAATCACAGATCTCATGTGAAAGACAGCAACACTTTTTTACTTATAGAATGATCAAATGAGGGGTGGTGTGTCTCAATAGTATTGTTAATATCTTGGGTAACCTGTCAAGTGAGTAAATGTAAAAGATTGATTTCAGAAATGTGATCCTTAAATATATTACTTGTTTGTCGTCAAATCTCTTGTATAAAGTATCCACTTTGAAGTATATGAATACTATTTTTAGATCATTCTTACAAGTCCTCTCATCAAAACAAAGCCAACTGATCAAAGAAAATCAAAAGGAAAAGAATTCTCTACCATTACCACTAATGTTACATGCTACATAAGAGTGTCAGCACTTCTCTATTTTTCCCCACTGATAAGGCTGATAGTTTTTTTAAAATATTTATTTATTTTGAGAGAGAGAAAGAAAGAGACAGACAGAGAGAGAGAGAGAGAGAGAGGGAATTAGCAGGGAAGAGGCAGAGAGAGAGAGGGAGAGAGAGAATCCCAAGCAGGCTCCGTGCATAGCCCAACATGGGGCTCAATCCCACAAACAATGAGCTGAAATCAAGTGTCAGATGCTCAACTGACTGAGCCACCCAGGTGCCCTAAGGCTGATAGGTTTTAATCTCATGTGTTTAAGGTTACTTCAATTTTATTGAGCATGCCACAATTTGTAAATGGGGTCATGTGTCAGAAATGGATCAGAAGATTTTCCAGTAACTAGAATAACTCTAGAAATGCTGGCACCTTGACTTAACTCCAGTTCTTGCCAAATAACTAAGCATTAAATAATCATACTGGATAGATGGTTGTAGCACTGATTGGAAGTGGCATGGGTTGCTGATTTCAGTTTATGAGGTCAGGCCTGAAAGAGTTATGTGTCAAAGTGTTATGTGTTGAATTGTGTCCTCCAAAAATATACACTGAATCTCTAACCTCTGGTACCTGTGAATGTGCCCTTTTTGGGGAATAGGGTCCTCGCAGATGTAATCAAGTTAAGATGAAGTTATACTGGACTGGGGCTGGCTCTAAAACCAATAACTAGTGTCCTTCTAAAACTAGGGACATTTGGACACAGATATGGAGAAGCAGAATATTAGACTGATATGTATGCAAGTCAAGGAAGAATTAGATTTCCGGCAATCACCCAAAGGTAGAACAGGCAAGGAAAGCTTTCTCCCTAGAGACTTGAGAGGAATAATAGCCCTGTAGACACTTTGATTTCACAGTTCTAGCCTTCAGAATTGTGAAGGAACAGTTTTTTTTTTCTTTTAAACCATCCAGTTAGTGTTAATTTGTTACAGCAGCCCTAAGAAATTAGTACACATAGAAGGATAGCAACTAAGCTAAGGGAATGAGCTGGACTTGGGATAGGGTTCAGAAGAAACTACTAATTAATGTATAAGGAAATGTCTAGAATCAGGTGAGCAGTTTTGGGTGAAGCATCACAGCTACCAAAATCTAAAGGAAAGGAAAATCTGAAGGTAGCATGACAGCCACCAAAAATTTTAAAGGAAAGGAAAATTTGTAGGTTATTGATTGATCAGAAAAAAGGAAGTTAATATTTTAGATATTAACCCTTTATCAGATAGATGGTTTGCAAATATTTTCTTCCATTCTGTAGGCTGCCTTTTCATTTTGTTGATGATTTCTTTTACTGTGCAGAAGGCTTAGTTTGGTGTAGTCTTACTTATTTTTGCTTTTGTTGCTTGTGATTTTGGTGTCATACCGAAAAAAATCATTGCCAAGACCAATGTCAAGAAGTTTTCTCCCCTATGTTTTCTTCTAGGAGTTTTACAGTTTCAGGTTATTTAAATCTTTAACACATTTTGAGTTAATTTTTGTGAGTGGTGTGAGATAGGGGTCCAATTTCATCCTTTTGCATGTGGATATATGAATATGTTGGAGACTCTGACATTCGTCTGCATCTCTGGAAGAAAATATACATTAATATTTTTATTTATTTAGCTCTTATCAAGAATTATAAAGTGTTTCCCTAATCATTTATATAAGCGTTTTTAGTGAAAATTTTCTACATTGGTATGCACAAATACAACATGATGAAAACTGGTTCTTGCACATCCTTTAAAGGAGTTATATATGCTTCCTTTCTTGATTCTCAAAGGTTATTTATGGGCTAAAGTACTATTCTGTGCAGCACAAATATTTGCCATGTTACGTAGCAAAGATATCATTTGCTCAGTGGTTAGTAAGCCACAGAGTTTTTAAAAAGCTAGAATACACAGTTATCATACTCATGACACACATTTAGTGACATAATTGAATGTCTTTAAGGTGCCACCAATGGCCATAAAGCAAAGATAATCATTTTGGTTCTTATTATCTGTGATTTATTCTCTCATTTGAAAGTTGCATGAACATATTTTGTCAGACAAAGTATCATAATGTTTGGTAAACATGCTCACTGTGTCTGTAGAGGAATTAAAACCTAGATCATGAAACCATATACTGGGTTAATATGCCTAACCATTATGCAAGCTTTTATAGAAGTCTGGTATATCCATATAATAAATAAATGGAAAATTGCTGCCTGTTAACCTAGTATTTTGGAGAATTCCTTCTGTATCTTGACTTAAAAGTTTTTATTTTCAAATAATTTTAGACTTAGAGAAAAGTTTCAAAGATCATACAGATCTTTGTTTCTATGTATCTTCTACCCAACTTCTTCTAATGTTAACATCTCATATAACCAGAGTACAATTTTCAAAACTAAGAATTGATATTGGTACAATACTCTTAACTACATCATAATCCTTATTCAGATTTTTCCAGTTTTTTCACTAATTTTCTTTTTGTAAGACCCAAACTGGGATATCTCATTCCATTTAGTTGTCATATCTCCTTAGGTTTTTGAAATCTGTGACAGTTCCTCAGTCTTCTTTCTTGTTTTTCATGACTTTGACACTTTTCAAAAGTACTCATCAAGTATTTTGTAGAATATACCTCACTTTGGGTTTGTTTAAAGTTTTTTGAAAATTAGACTGAGGTTATGGGTTTGGGGAAAGAACACCACAGAAGTGAAGTGCCCTTCTCACCACATCATGTCAGGAGTATATGGTATGAATGATCACCAGTGATGTTAACCTTGATTACTTGGTTAAAGTGATGTCTGCCAAGTTTCTCCATTGTAAAGTTACTATTTTTTCCTTTCATACTCTATTCATTAGAAGTGACTGATGTTGGTTTTGAAAAGGGATAACATTATTCTCAAGTGT